GGACCGATAAATGTGCCCCCAATAAATTAGATATGATAGGTATGTGACGTCACACACGTGAGTGATCCAACGACCCCGCCCCCTCCCACAAGCAGCCCTAAATTCCCTCTCACTTTCAATCCTGAAACTAGGGAAATCATGTTTTGCTAAACGTTTAAAGACCTTTTTTTTAGGATATTTCCATTTCAGGATACAGGAGTAGGATCACTGTACGTTCAGCTCGGACGGCGTGTAATGTACAGGGAAATTGCAAGTTTTTGATAAATGTCGTTAATGTAACTCACCTAATGAACATATCCGTGTCATGACATTTTGTTCACAAAAATCCAAGACTTTAAATATTCCTGCTTTGATAATTGCTGTTCCTAAACAACTTAAATGTTAAGACCATGTGCGAACGAACTATTAAATATGTACTTATTTTTCTGTTTCAGAGCGTCTATTCCCTTTGGGGATTGTCCCAGTATGGTCAGGTAATGTGAAATGGGGATTAAAATCGCGATCAAGATTAATGCGACCAGTCCTTGTTTTATCCGCTTTATGACGAACGCCAGACAGGGTAATGTTCAACAAGTACCAACGTCTTTTGGTGTGACGAGGCAGGGGTTCCAACAATGATCCTTCCGCACTCCGGGCAGACAATAAATCCACTAGACCATAGAGGCAGTCGATCCTCCAGTACCAGTCCTTGCCATAATTTTTGTTTGTTTATTTGTTGTTTAGCGCCGCATGCACTCAACAGTATTCCAGCTATATGACGGCGGTCTATAAATAATCTTTATATAGCTGGAAAACTGCTGACTGCGGCGATAAACAACATTCACTCATTTAATTCATACCAAGATGAAACAAACGTCACCAAAATAGGCGACATGGGGTTGACTAAAAAGTTCTGAGACTCGCGTTGGAGGAACTGCGTCAAAGTGAAATATTTTGTTGTGTACATTCTTGATGTCATCGAGGCATGCATATTCACAAAACATTTAATCGATTGAACAAATTGTTTGGCTGTGACAAGTCCGTAAAATAGACAGGGGTCTGTGTGGCCTTTGCAAAATGGATAAATTTGATGAACGTGCAATGATCAAGTACTGTTGGTTGGTTTGTTTGTTGTTTAGCGCCGCACTCAGCAATATTCCAGCTATATGACGGCGGTCTGTAAATAATCGAGTCTGGACCAGACAATCCAGTGATTGATATAATGAGCATCGATCCACACAATTGGGATCGATGACATGCATCAACCAAGTCAGCGAGCCTGATCACCCGATCCCGTTAGTCGCCTTTTACGACAAGCATAGTCACCTGTTACGGCAAGCATGGGTTGATGAAGACCTATTCTACCCCGGAATCTTCACGGCAGCAAAGGGCTTAACAGATATGAGTACAAAACTGGGGAAGGACCTTTGTTTGTCTGTTGTTTAACGCCGCACTCAGCAATATTCCAGCTATATCATGGCGGTCTGTAAATAATCGAGTCTGGACCAGACAATCCACTGATTGACATCATGAGCATCGATCCACGCAAAAGGGATACGGTGACATGCATCAACAAAGTCAGCGAGCCTGACCACTCGATCCCGTTAGTTCTTACCACAAGCATAGTCGCCTTTTACGGCAAGCATGGGTTGCTGGATACTAGGGCTGGGACGAGTCCAAATTTACTACCCGGGTACCCACCACCCTATTACCCGACCCTACCCGGGTACCCGCTGTAGATATTTAGAGATAGGTACAAACTGTCCAATTTTGAAAAGTTTGACCGTAGCCCTGGCAAAACGTATTTAGATACACGTGTAAGTAGATCCGGTCATGCATACACTGAAGTTTAATGCATGAAGTTTTATCTTTATTCAAACATATAAAAGTCAGATCTAGAAGGAATGGGTGCATTGTCAGAAAGAAATGGGATATTAGTGACGTATAGGGTAACCATAGAGTTTTAGATAATTTTTGTCATCAAACAATATATATCACGTGACTAACCACGGGTCCGGGGAGTCCTGTGGGCACCCGGGTCCTACTCAGGACCAACCCGACCCGGGTACCCGAGTTACCCGTCCCAGCCCTACTGGATACCTATTCTACCTCGGATCCTCACGGGCCTTGTACCGGTAGATAAAGGGGGTAGACAGTTCTGACAGTATACATTAAACCGGCATTGGTTGTCTTCCGGCTGTTATATTGACACCCTGAGACCACTCGATCCCGTTAGTCGCCTCTTATGACAAGCATAGTCGCCTTAAAATTACGGCAAGCATTGGTTGCTGATGATCTATTCTACCCCAGATCTTCACGGGTAGGGAAGGACGTAAAGAGGTGGCGTGGCGGGGATAGACTTGAAGACGAACCTCGTCAATCAGCAATCTACAATTGTATTTCAATGTAAAATAATTGGTAGTTAGAATAAAAGTTTCCTGTACCATTCTGATAATGGAAATTACTAAAAATTACTAAAATTTAATACCATATGTCATATTTAATATATTTTATATATCAAAGCGATAACCCTGTAAATTACCAGTTGGTGTTTAATGTTTGGTGACTGACGTTGATATAACACTGTGCATATCAGAATAGATACAGCTTTCTACTTTGTGTCATTATTACCGCGAATATTTAACTCACATGACCTAAGGCTATAATCGGCGCCTTTGTCCGGAGCTTAGCGCTACATCCTGTTTAATCCATGGGACATTGCGCGACTGCTGTTTCAGATAGCTTAAAAATCTATCGTGTTTTATCATTGTCAACAAGGAACGCACTTATCTTCAGGTCGTTACAGTGGGAACAGATATTTTCTAGCTTGATTCAACTAGTTCCTATGTCATCGCGGAAAGGATGGGTCACGTCATTTAAAAATTTTCCTTTTGATGGTTTTTGTAAGATTTTTGTACAGCCATTGTTGCGTTTTCGGACCTGTCTTCTATTCTCTTAAAAACGTCCCAAAGCCAAAGACCACGAACAACGCCATTCTTACGCCATTTTTTTCACCAAACCAAGAATCCACCAAGGGCAGATAATCGAAAAGTAAATTTTCAATGCAAACCACAAGGAATTTAAATAGAACACTTTTGTTCCACACATATGAGATTTACCTTGAAACTTACTCCGAAATGTACTCACTTTTGAGACGCTACAGCATGAACAACGATCTACGTCGTCGTTGTACGATGGAACACAATCAGCCAGGAAAGAATACGTAACCCACGAAGCCTTATTTTGGTAAGTTATTGAGTACAGAGTTTGACGTAGACTAACATATAGTCTCTGAAATGAACATATCGTACAGAAAAAAGTTGTTCAGTTATCTTAATAAAAATATAATAAAAAGGGAGCCCAGTGATTCTCTTCATTTTCAGATACTGCAGTAATCTAGACTTGCCAAACATTATAGACTTGCATGGGCTGTAGTTGATATATTTGTATCAGGGTATGTAAGACAGACTAAGTTTTACGCTGCTTTTAGCGATATTCCAGAAATTCCAATGTCGAGGAACTCGAACATTCCACTGCACACGCGTGTGGCATCGAACCAGCCTTGCTGAAGTCTGTTCTTATAAACACCATGTGAAAAACTAGGGTGCACGTGCTATTGTACGGGTTGATTTGTTTGTTGTTTAACGCCGCACTCAGCAATATTCCACCTATATGACGGCGGTCTGTAAATAATCGAGTCTGGACCAGACAATCCAGTGATTAATATCATAAACATCGATCCACGCAGTTTGAATCGATGACATGCATTAACTAGGTCAGCGAGCCTGACCACCCGATCCCGTTAGTCGCCTCTTACGACAAGCATAGTCGCCTTTTACGGCAAGCATGGGTTGCTGAAGACCTATTCCACCTCGGATTCTCACGGGCCTTAGGGGGTAGACAGTTCTGACAGTATACATTAAACCGGCATTGGTTGTCTTCCGGCTGTTTTTACACCGCTCTTAGCAATATTTCAGCAATATCACGACGGGTGACCCTAGCAATTGGCTTCACACATTATACCCATGTGGGGAATCGAACCGGGACCTTGGCGTGTCTTGCGAACGCTTTAACCACCAGGCCACCCCAAGTCCCCTGACTGTGAGAGCATATATTTCATTGTTATTACTTTTAGTTTGAGAAACCAATTTTTAAGTGCTGTAGTTTCTTAAAAAATAAATGTCGTTTTTTCAATGTTCAGCAAGTAGCTCAAATCCATAGCAGAGGTGGACGCAAACAGATCTTCTTGAGCCCTAAATTGCCCTTTAATACTCCATGTATGTCTTTTGGTTGTGTAATGCAGCACATCATTCCAGAAACATGACCATGGTCTGTAAATAATCGAGTCTGGAGTAATAGCTTAGTGTGCACTTGAGTGTTCATTCTCATTAGTTCTTGAGATATCCCGGCAACACCGTTTTCCAACTCCAAAAGCAGATTTACCTGCTGTGACCTTGAAAATGGGCTCAAGGTCACCAAAACCGACTGGTGTCTGCGGAGTCCGTATATACACCCTAGTACCAAATAGGAAGACAATCCAGAGATTAGTTCTTGAGATATCGCGGCAACACCGTTTTCCAACTCCAAAAGCAGATATGCGTGCTGTGACCTTGAAAATGGGGTCAAGGTCACCAAAACCGACCGGTGTCTGCGGAGTCCGTATATACACCCTAGTACCAAATAGGAAGACAATCCAGAGATTAGTTCTTGAGATATCGCGGCAACACCGTTTTCCAACTCCAAAAGCAGATATGCCTGCTGTGACCTTGAAAATGGGGTCAAGGTCACCAAAACCGACTGGTGTCTGCGGAGTCTGTATATACACCATAGTTCCAAATATGAAGACAATCCAGTGTTTAGTTCTTGAGATATCGCGGCAACAAACAGGTGGGACGTACGGACGGACGGACGGACGGACGGACGTACGTACGGACGGTCGTGAATACTATATCCCCCGCTTTGCGCTTTTGTGCGGCGGGGGACAATCATAAAAGAAACAATCAACAAGGCAAGACTTGGTAAACTCTTCAAATACATTTTTTTCCCATTGTAAGTTGATACAATAACAACTTGAAACAAGGCAGTGATGAAAACACAACAATATCATCTTGGATGATGCACTACAATAGTCTACAGTCTACAACAATGTTTTTCCTGTGATCTACATTTACAATGGGCAAGTCCTGCATACAAAATCAAGGCCAGATACTAAACAACACAGGTCCATTCATACAAAGGGAGTCTTGACTTTTTAGAAAAACAATGAAATGTGAATTAAACTCCCTTACTTGGACTCTTCCAGCCCTGTCTGAACAAAGTGAAATGCACAAGAAAAATTCTGACACTAATTTTTCTCTTTTAAAGACAATTTGTCTGTCAGATAAGTTCTGATCTATAAGATCAATACCATATAATGATCATATAATACATACTAAACACTTTCAAATTCAAACAAGATATTAACATGACATACTTTGATAGCACTGTGTTTATCTTTGAAAAGAATACTTCACATTAATCCAAAATAGGCATAACCATTCAAAAATAACTCTTTTGGTAAATTTTGCAATTCAATATCAATTTCTCAAAGCACTTGGCAAAAAGGAATTGTACAAAGGGAGATAACTCTTAACAATTACTTCCCCTTAGGTGAGATTGTTGCTGTGGTATTTGATGGCTGTATGTTCTAGCTTTATGTAGGTGAGCGAGATAGGTATAACACTGCTTTCAACAGTATTTCAGTTGTATCCCACTGTATCAGCCTCACGAGGGATGAAGGGCAGAGATGCAGGATGCCAATGTAACCACAATGACAAACAAACCATCCTACACCGATCACCAGTGGGATGAATGTTTAGTCCTGTTTGAAAAAACAAAATAGTTCCAGTTGTCCGTGTCTGGATACTGAAATGCACAATTTAGTACCTTTGAGGATGGATTACGAAATAGCGTTTCAGATCGTTTTCTAGGACACACTAACTGTTACTTTCCAAAAAGTTGGAATTTATTTTTCCAAATTGATAATATGGAAGGATGTTCTATCAAAACTTGATAAAAACCTGTAAATGGTATTATGCCATTTGTCTGTAGCAAAATCCCTGACCAAGTGTCCTATTTGGTTCTTTGTTGCTGAAATGCATTCAACGACCCTTCAAACAGTATTTCAGTTTTTAACAGTGTGAGAAAACATGGGAGATGGATTACAATCACGGTGCCAACAGTAGATCCATTTTTCGCTACAGTGAGTGAGTAAGGTTTTACGCCGCTTTCAGCAATATTCCAGCAACATCACGGCGGGGGACACCAGAAATGGGCTTCACACATTGTACCCATGTCGGGAATCAAACCTGGGTCTTCGGCGTGACGAGCGAACACTCTAACCTCAAGGCTACCCGACCGCCCCGCTTGGCTACGGGTCAAAACTCTTTGGACTACTGGGTCACTTTGCACACTTGGCATAATAATAATGCATGACAATATATATACCTTAAATATGTGAACTTAGTCGGACTGGTTTGAAATTTGAATCTACAAAACATAAATACCTCAATTCTACAAATGAGTTCATTACTGTCACTGGTCATAATCAAACTGGGATTTTCATCTGAGATTATATTTTAGCCTTTCTTGCTACACTGGATGTGTGTTACTTTTCAGTGAGGAGACAAATTTGCCAATAAAAAAAATAAGCAAAGATGTTTTCATCTGCCAACATGGACAATTGATTGATCAATTCAAAATCAAGTAAAATTATTTTTCTATTTCTTTTTCTGGAATTTCCCAAAGTCACCAAAGTAGAGATGTCTTGCAATATTCCTGCATCCCTCCATTTTGCTCCAAAATATATATGAAATAGTGTTTTTCCATTTAAATTAAGTTACCATTTTCCTAATTTATGTTCAACGAAACAGTTTAAAAAAAGAGAGAAAAAAACATTTAAAAAAACATTACTTTAATAACATGTACACATTATTAGTGCATCAGGGTAAATTATCAGGAATATCAGTAAATTAAAGTAACAGAGATCCTTAAGTTAGGCATCACCCATACCATTACCATCCAACATGCTGCTTAACATGGATAAACTCTACACTTTGACAACACTTATTTCATATATGTTTGGTTCTGATACTGAAAAACAGTTGAGTATCACAATTGGGCTTGTCAGCACTCTCCTGGCTCAGGACATCCTTCCCCAGTCTGGTTGTGGGACATTCTCCCCTCCAGGGGGAAAATCATTAGAGTTACCTCCCTTTGCTTAATAGGCATTGCTATTTGAAGACAGAAATGCTATGTAGCCACAAGGTCTTAATCATCAAGAAAACAGTCACAAGACACGAAAGCATTTAAACAGCACAGTATTGTAATTCTACGATGTAAAGTAAGGAGTGATGGAAGAAAGGCGTTTGACAACAAATTGAAAGTGGCCGTCGAAACCATGACAGGATGACTAATATTGTAGATAAGACAGCCTAGTCTTACTAAAATTCTAAAAAAAATAATTCTAAGGCAATGACTTTTGGACAGTTATTATAAGATAATGATTGCCTCTAATTTTCCATTAAAAGTTTCAAAAGAGTGCTCTGTAGGTCATAGGAATAATTTCTCAAGACTGTAAGAGAAAATACTATAGCCTTCATGTTAAGATGTTTACTATTGCTATGCATGAGACCAATTTGAACAAGAATTAAAAAGAACTTCACAATATTAACTTCAAACATGTTTGAATAATATGTTCTTTTGGATACACAAGTAAAGAGAATAATTATCAGAGCTCATAGAATTCCACTTACAGTTTCCTATGAAATCTTGGCACAAGCATGTAGCCCTGCACTCACAGAAAGGCGGTTGTTTCATCAATGTCACTGTATTAGTGTTACATGAATAACTAGATGAATGTTCAATATTTATGCAACAAAAACATTTTACTTGTAAACTACTCCTAACCTTCAGGTACAGCTACAGTATACCAGATACACATCCGCCCTGTTTGTTGATGCGACTAATATAGCAGCATGTGACAGACTATTTTTAAAATATGTTCATGACATTTAATTGTGATAGCATTTGTTTCAAGTCATTGTGTAGGGGCAAACCCACTAACCCCATAATATTTTAGCAAGGCCGATCCAAAAAGCATCTAAAAACTTAGAAACTATTACTGAGGAAAGGCCTCATGCACTTACCTATCATGCCTATGACAAAAGGTATCCACTATGCTGTATTCTAGCCAATATTTCTTGGTCAGAAGGCAGACACTTAATACAACCTAGCTGCATCAAAGAGGAAGAACTATTTGTCACACAAAAGGATATTTTAGTCAAAGGTTCTTATTTCTTCCATCTTACCTGTGTTAAAACATTTTATCTTACTGTCATACTTTGATATAGTGAGTGAGTAAGCTGGGTTTAACATCTTTGATAGAGACATATGTATTACATTACATAATTAGTCAATATCATAACCTCATAGGCATGATAGGGGTACAGCTTCTTAAAGTTCATCGGAAGAAGGATACAATGAAACCCTTATAGTCTGGACACCTCACATTCCGACCACCTTGTTGGGAAACTCTCTCTCAGTATAATAGAAACAACACAACATTAGTCTGTATCAAATATTCGTTGATTAGGACATTTGTTGGTCCGAAAGATTCACTAGTAAAGGGATGTGTCCAGAATAACAGGGTGTCATTGTAACGCAGACACTTCTCCAAAACCGAGTGTCAACATTATGAAGTTAATCACCACCTGTGGAATTCTATTACCTTGGTTACTGGAAAATAAATAGATTTGCAGAATCAAATGCAAAGTATGTGAAATTTCATGAATGTGCCATTTTCAAATACTGACAGTTCCTGGCCATAATAAGACATATTGCCACACAAAATGACCTGATTTGATATTTGATATCTGTATCGGATGCTAGATCTGACCTGAGAACTGACCTCGTTCAGACCTGATGTGCTACTTAATCACAGTACAAGCTAATGTGTCTGACAATCACTATGTAAAACATTCTAGTCTTTCTCCCATCACTCACACATGCAAATTGCACATTACACAAAGACCTAGTCCCACAAGGAACCCTATGTCATATAATCCGGTGGCTTTATGTTTTTCCCTGCCTGGATACGAGTCACCCTATCCCAGACAAAAGGCAACTGGTGACGAGCCTCCTGCTTCGCTCCTGTCTTCTTGGGAGTTTCCGACACAACCTCCTTGTCCGGTCGTTTGCCACTATCGTCTGTTGACAAAGGAGTATCTGGCTTCTCCTCCTTACCACTAGATTGAGCACAAGGACCTTTTTCCTTTGAAATAGCACCAGAAGATTGGTCCAACTTTGGAACTTTGGACTCTGACTCTGGGTTTTCGCAAGATTCTTTTCTCTTGCGATGACTTCCAAATTTTTTATGTCTGTAAAAATTGGCTTGCGGGTCATCACCTTCTGCAGGTGATGCCAAAGGTCCTCCATCTTGGGTGCTTTCTATCGAAAGCGACCTTGACTCGGATGATGAACACCTTTCTCCTGAAAAACCAGAATCTTTATCGTCTTCCACATGGAGATACATCAACTCCCTAGCTTTGGAATCAACACAGTTTGAATCATTATTTTTATCATTGCTAGCCTGGTCCTGTTTGGGCCTATCTACACCAGTGTTAGAGTCATGAGGACAGGAGGCCTGAGAAGTGGTGGTAGATGTAGGGTGAGTGTAGTCTGACTGAGACGGCTTGTCACTACTGCTATCAGGACTAGCACTAACAGTAATTTGATCAGCTGGTAAGCGTTGTACCTCTAGATTTGGGTTGGGAACAGGTTCCGAGAGGAATTTGTGAAACTCAGGGATAGATTTACCAACACCAGAATCTATGAATTGAGTGTGACCTTCTGGAGAGGTAGGATTTGAAATACTGCTTGAGTGAGGCTTCTTGGCTTGGGGAGGCTGTCCATCTGAACACATTTCTTTAAAATGAACTGACTTGACATGTTCCTCAAGGGCTAACACAGAGAACTGACAACCACAAAACCTGCACAATCCTGTTCTTCCAAGGTGCTTTTCGTTCTGTTCTAGTCCAGAGGGAGAGTCACCAAGGTGACTTTCAGGACCAATGAAGGGTCCTGGCGTTCTAGCCTGGTTGTGCTGACGACAATGGCGCTTGTATGACCCAAAGTCATTGAGCTGAAATGTTTGATTACACTGCTGACACTGAAGATACTTTGTATCCTCACAGTCATCCCGAAGTGAACTCTTCGGGCGACCATCACTGGCACGTCTGTATGCCCTGGCTTTGCTATTGTTCCAATCCTGCTGGGTCTGCTGACTTGGGGAGACACCCCTTGGATCCAATGGAGACAAGCTCTCCTTCTTGCCTCTGTAAAAGTCAGAACCTGGGGTTGAAACAGCTTCTCTTTCAGGTGGAGCTGAACTTCGTCCAGTAGGGATCAAGGGCTCTCCTTGATGATCTTGTGGGTTTAACATATAAGGACTCTGCAGTGCTGATTTAGTTGCTGAGATTGTTTGGACAATTGTATGTTCGGCTCTTGGCTCAAACCCATGTTGATTTCTGAAGTGTTTCCGAAATCCATATGGACTGCCGTAGGTTTGCCGACAAAGTCGACAAATGAGGTACAGGATATCATTTGGAGGATGGTTTCCAATGATACTTTGGATGGGTTCATGCCTGGATACGCTGCCTTTCCTCTGAGATAGGTCCCCTTTTTCTGATCCTTGTGGAGATGCTAGAGGTTGGGGCGATTCCCTGAGCTGATGAGTAGAAGTCTGAGACAGATACGTTACTGACGTTGAGGTTTTAGGTGATAACTTTTCCTGAGTTATTGAAGGGTATGTAGCTTGACCTTGAGCATGAGAAATGGAAACCTGATTTGCTGGTCTGACAGGTGAAAGGGCTGACATTGTAGAAGGAGTCGTCGAGAATGTTGGTGCTGGAATAGGATGAAGTTGAGGTCTGTGCCCACCGGGTGACATCATCATACCTGACACTATCGTTGGTGCCATGATCGCATTGCCAGGGTTTTCACCACCTCCTCTGTCAAATGGCATCATGTCTTTCCGTGGGTAGCCACAATGGGCCTGCTGGAAGAGCTTGTCTACACTGCTCTCCAGATGCTGCAGGTGGTGGTTACCTCGTCCACTGTAGTCTACTTGACCATGGACAATACCACCACCTTCTCTATGTCCAACATCTCTAGGCACACTTGCAGGATTGGAAGGCTTTTTTGATAAATCAAGGGGCTGATCATTATCCATTAAATCTGGTCCCGGTTGAGCAATAGGAACACTCTCTGGTATTTTTACTGTGAGATCAAGTACTGGTGCTTGAGGCGAGGCATATCTCTCCCCTCTACCATGTGGTGGAAGGGAGACATGTGGTTTGGGGGCATGCATGACATCCTGCCTACTTCCAATACTGGCAACTGGAGGCTGGCCATGCCTACCTGGCTGTGGAGCATTATCAGCATTTCGTGGGAAATCTTTGCAAGAATATGGGCTTCCTTCGTTGTGATGATAAATGTCTTGCCTTGCATGAGAGCTGCCTCTGTCTTGTCTTCTATCAGACTTGGCCATATCTGGATTATAAGCATCACCAACCATTTGTACTCCATGACTTAGAGTGGCAGGATATGGCAAGGGTTTAATAGGCTGAACTGGATACTGAATCATATTTGCCATGTGAACAGCAGTTGTGTTGGGAAATTTGCTTGGGGATGTTGCTTGCAACCTTGCCATGTCTTGCTTTACTATCATACCTTGACTGTGGGGAGACTGAACTGGCACTTGGAGGTGATTCTGATAGAAAGAAGGTTCGGCCTGTGACATAGGCATATTCATCATTGGGGATGCACTGTTAGGTGATGGCTTGCTTTGTTTCGTCGACTTTTCTCCATACTGGAAAAACGTTCGGCAACTAAGACACCTACAGTTTTTACTGGGCATATGAGAGAAGGAGGATGCATCATTCTCTGAAGCTAGCACGCCATCAGCCCTCATCAGAGGAGGAGGAAAAGCCCTTGGTGGCATGTACATAGGGTGTCCACGCAACATGTACATCTGAGCCTTTGGTAGCATCCCTTGACGAGGGATTGCACCATTTAGGTATGGAGCTAAAGCTCTTGGGTTGAAACGAGCCATCATTGCTTCATTTTGCTTTGCCATCGTCGCATATTTACCAACAGAGTATCCAGAAGGTTCATACTGCTTGGGTTCCTTCACCTTATCCACAGGCATATGTTTTGAGTGAAGCCCATGGTAACCGTCTTGTGGAGGTTTCTGAGACCAGTTTCTATGTGTTTCAGAATGTCCATCAGTATGAATGCTGGATCCTGCATCCGAATACCTAGAAGGGGATTTGCTAGCACCAGGCACAGGCGACCGATGCTGAAGACGTTCACTGTCCCGAGCATGCTCATGGGTATAGCCTTTCTTACTGTCACTAGGAGTACCATGGTTCTCTATCAATACTTCATCGGAACTGCCTGGAGACAACAGTTTGCTTATCACTTCAGTTTGACTGATAACTCGGTCAACAATATCCTGCACACTAATAGTACCATCTAACCCAGCATTAGCAGAGGCACTAGTGACAGGCTTGCCTTGAGTTATTGAACCACTACCTGCATTTGTTGTTTCCTTAGGAACACTTATAGTATTAACTGGTTCGGGATTGGAAGTGGATATTTCTTCGTTGACAAAGCTCTTTTCCAGAACTCTTTCAATATGATCCATAAGACAAACCATATTATTCTGCAAATTCTCCATTTCCGGGCTTCTTTTCTTTTCCTTAACGCTGGCAACAACAGATGTGTCCGAGCTTGTGGAGGATGGAGTTGACACTGTAGTGGTTGACTCAGTCGTAGCAGTACTCTGAGCAAGGGATTTCATGGAAACTTGACCTTTGTGGCTTACATCTGGGAGAGAAGTATGCATATCCTCGCCTAATGAATTATCTAACACTTTGTCTATCAAAGTCTGCAGTCTCACTGTGTTTTTAGGAAGCTTGTCATCCCTCTTAAGAGACTCATACAAGCTTGGTCTAGTACAGGTCTGGCTCTTCTCACTGGTCAGAGGTTTGGACTCATGTTTGCAGTTGATGGCCAAGTCAACACTGGGTATCCGATTGGTCACTTCCTCTGTGGTGTCACTCTTTATCATATCGACAATACGATCCTTCATGAAACTGAACACAACATCTACTGGCTGGCTTCCCCCGTCTCTTGCCGCTGCCTGCGGTGGACTGGCTTTAGCTTTAGCTTCCTCAGAATCCTTTTTTGAGTCTTCCGCCTCCGATTCATCGGATTTAACTCCAAGGCACGATTCTATCAAAGAGTCAATAGCGGCCCGAACTGAATTGGTCTTCATGTCAGAATCTGTTGATGAATCTTGGCCTTCTTCTTCAATCTTACTTTCCTTTTCACTTGTATTGTCCTCCCCAATGCTTCTCAGGGCTCCTTGTTCGTCTCTTGTAGTTGCACTCATTAATGGATTTCCTTCCATAGAGGCGTTCTGTCCCATTCTTTGCTTCAGGTACTGAAAAGAGAAAGGTTTAGATGAGAAAGAGCACTCATAAAAGTTGTAGCCAGGATAACAAGTCAAATTAAAGATATTACTTTCATAATTTTCATATTTCGGTAATATCTTGGAGGGTAAAATTGAATAAATTACCAAACTGTGGAATTGATAATTGTTATTATCTCCAGGTCTAGTGCATGCCTATCCGTCATGAGTCTTTTATAAGTGTCCCATGACATGATACACGTCTGGCTGGAACTGGAACTAGAACTCGCATTTAATGCAAAAACAGAAGCAGCTTCATCACCATCTTTTCCTGAATATTTTCCACCAGAAATATGCATCATTTATCATATTGACGCTACTGAGACGGGAAACAGGTGACCTCACCAATATTAATCTATATTCATCTTTGATCCCTGATGTTGTCAAATGCAGTAGAACAAAGTCCTATGCCTGAAGCTACCCTATAATTTGTTTGTTTCTGAGCAATTCTCCAGCTATATGACAGCGGTCTGTATATAAAGTCCTATGCCTGAAGCTACACTATAATTTGCTTGTTTCTCATCAATCCTCCAGCTATATGACAGCGGTCTGTGTGATATATATATATATGAGTCTGGGCCAGACAATCCAGTGATTGACATCATGCGCATCAATCCACACATTTGAGATACGATGAGATGCATCAACCAAGTGAGCGAGCCTGACCACCCGATCTGGTTAGTTGCCTCCTACCACAAGGCAAGTCATCTTTAGCCACCCTAAAAACAACTTATTTACCCTTCTTGTTTTGAAAAACAAACGCCAAATTTTGAAACAGAAAGTCACATGCCTGAATGGTTGTTTTATGCTGCACTCAGCAATATTACAGCTATATGACAGCAGTCTGTAAGTAATCGAGTCTGGGCCAGACAATCCAGTGATTGATATCATCAGCATCGTTCCATGCAATTGGGATCGACGACATGCATCAACCAAGTCAGCGAGCCTGACCACCCAATCCTGTTAGTCACCTCTTACTACAAGCATAGTTGCCTTTTACGGCAAGCAAGGGTTGCTGAAGACCTATTCTACCCCGGATCTTCACGGGTCACATGCCTTAAGGACAAAAGTCTTCTCGTCTGTGTTAGGGATTGGTCACTTCTTACCACTATATCATGGTTGGCTGCTCCCCCATTTTATTTTTCTCCCAAATATATGTTTTCCCATCTTCCTAAGGCAAGAGAGTTAACTGACTTAAAGGTCCAGTTTCCACCCTTGCCGAACTAGGCTGGTATTATGGAGTTCCACTTTGGCTGGACTAATGAGTCTATGCATAGACATCAAAATCGCGAAACAAAATCGAAATCCGGTTCGTTAACTGTCATGCAGATTTCGGTTGATAGTAGGATTTGCAAAGCATGTGCACCGCTAGCTTGTTGTCCATGGATATTTTCTAAATCTTTTCATGTTTTTAATGAAGATGCTCAAGTGATTTGATGCACTTTACAATGTAAGACTTGTTTTATCACAAGATAGATCTTGACTATCGATCAGATCATCTTGGCTAGGCGCCGCCATTTTGTTTGAAGCAAATGCAAGTGGTGGAATCTGATTGGTCCATAGGAGAGGCATAGAAAGGACATAACACTTAATAGGTGAGGTGAGATGAGGTGAAATGGGGTTTAACGTCGCGTCCAAGATTATTGCACTTATATAGCCACGTGCATGTATGTGTGTGTGTTTGTGTGGCTGCTTGTACTAGTCTGGACTGATGCCGATTTATAGTGCTAGCTCACTGAGATACCATGTCGCAGTTTAACATGAATACCCCACTCAGACACAGTATACTGCCTCCGAGCCAACCAGTCCTTGTTTTAGCCCCTTAATGCCGAGCGCCAGACAGGGTAACAACAAGTACCATCTTTTAACGTCTTTTGGTATGACGCGGTCGGGGATCGAACCCCGGACCTTCCGCTCTCCAGGCGGATGCTCTACCACTAGACCACAGAGGCGGTTAACACTTAATCGAGCCAAGGAATTCAAGCCTAGTTCGGCAAGGGTGGAAACTGGACTTTTAAAGTCAGTTAACTCTCTTGCCTAAGGAAGATGATGTTTTCCATGACACACCCTCTATAATGAATATGATGAGTCCCTAAATAATGTTCAAATGTACAACTTTTATTTGAAAAATTAGAAATGTCATTTTGGGGTTTGTTCTGGTGAATATTTGACTTGCCTTTGCATGTGTTTGTATTCTTCATCATGTTAAAGGTTTGCAGTATTTGAATCAAGGGACTCCCTACTGTTTTAACCATGTTAACTTTAAATGTACGTGTTATGTCAAGCAATCCATTTTCATGATCAAATTTCAACAGTGGAAGGAAACATTAATTTTATCTTATTTCATGCTTTTTTAGTTTCCTTCCACCTCATAAAACCTTTATGAGGTCATGGGAAATAAATAAATAAAAAATAAAATATAATAAACAAAAAATTAGATTCTAATGATAGACAATGCAAATGACAAAAGGTCATTGGGACATAGATTCAAGTAAATAAAAGACACATTACTTCTTTCCAGGCAAGTTAACAATTCGACTGGGTTATGAGCATAAATATTAGTTTGAAACATAAACCATCACTGTCATCATGATCGCATCAGATGACTGATACAATGTATTGTAGATAAATGTCATCCATCATTGTTCCATGTATTTCCTTAGAACATATAATGTTTCCTGTCTCATGTTGCAGAATACATGAAAGTTGTTGTCTTTGGGAAGGCCTGTTTTGGGGGGGTTATTAACCAGCCTTTAACATTCACACTGGTCTGTTAGCTCGAGATTTGGACAAGTAAATATCCAATTTTTGTAGCCCTCATTAACTAGTAGGATTTGAAGGTCAATATTCTGAACCAGTTCTCAATGCTTCAGTTTTACTACAAATTGAAACTGAATAAAACTGGACCCGTGAAGATCCGGGGTAGAATAGGTCCTCAGCAAACCATGCTTGCAATAAAAAGTGACTATGCTTGTCGTAAGAGGCAACAAACGGGATCGGGTGGTCAGGCTCGCCGACTTGGTTGATGCATGTCATCAATCCCAATTGTGTGGGTCGATGCTCATGTTGTCAATCACTGGATTGTCTGGTCCAGGCTTGATTATTTACAGACCGCCGTCATACAGCTGGTATATTGCTGAGTGTGGCGTTAAACAACACACAAACAAACAAACAAGAGTTTGTCACTAACGTGGCTATATCCCCTGCCCCTGTTGCAGAACTTATGACATAATTAAAACTAAACAAACCCTAACCTTTTTTAACCGAGGTGGAACTTGTCGTGGAAATTGTAAAAAAAGAAGAGTTTGGAACCTAAGTCCATCTTGTTGCCATGGAAACGTAAAAAAAATTTAAATTTCTAAAATTTCTAAATAGCAAAAGGCACCAGTTCAGCATGTACCTGACAGACCTGCAAAGTTTGATGAAAAAATATTGAAAGGTTTATGAGTTATGTTCCGGAAAGGAACCCTACCCTCACAGAACCTAAGTCCATCTTGTTGCCATGGAAACGTAAAAAATAAAATGTCTAAAATTTCTAAATAGCAAAAGGCACCAGTTCAGCATGTACCTGACAGACCTGCAAAGTTTGATGAACAAATATTGAACGGTTTATGAGTCATGCTCCGGAAACGAACCCTACCCTCACAGAACCTAAGTCCATCTTGTTGCCATGGAAACGTAAAAAATAAAAATGTCTAAAATTTCTAAATAGCAAAAGGCACCAGTTCAGCATGTACCTGACAGACCTGCAAAATTTGATGAAAAAATATTGAAAGGTTTATGAGTTATGCTCCGGAAACGAACCCTACCCTCACAGAACCTAAGTCCATCTTGTTGCCATGGAAACGTAAAAAATAAAAATGTCTAAAATTTCTAAATAGCAAAAGGCACCAGTTCAGCATGTACCTGACAGACCTGCAAATTTGATGAAAAAATATTGAACGGTTTATGAGTTATGCTCCGGAAACGAAACGTGACGGACGGACAGAGCCTGTTTCTATATTCTCACATTGCAGATTCTCAACTAGCTACAAACTTGGAGGACAAGTGAAATAAGGTTTAGATGAAACAAGTTTCTAAGGCTCAAGATTATTCTTGTTACTGTTTCAATACATACAATTATTAGAACGGGGGGGGGGAGGGGAGGAAACAATATTCTTCAGGAAAAGCAAAAGTCCAGCTAGACCTTTTACAGTCTTTTTATAAGACCTGAAGCCAAATTACATTTTTCAGTCATTTCCTGGAACAATTGTAAATACAAATCCCCGTCCTCAGAGAACCACATAGTCAGTCTCATTTAGCATAAGAGTAAATCTTTACAGACTTACTAAACTTTAAACATTTAAACTTTCAAATTTAATGTTTGAAAACAAACAGGATGTTGTCAAAATAGTAGGGCTGGGTGGGAAACTCAGGTACTTGGGTCAGAAGGATCCTGGTACGACCCGTGGTTAGTCACGTGATATATTGTTTAATGACAATAAAACTCCATGGTTATACTGCAAGTCACTAATGTTTGCATTGCTTTCTGACTACGCACGCATTCTTTCTGACCTTTAAGTTTGAATACTGATAAAGCTTCAGTCAACTTCAGTGTATGCATGATCGGATCATTTTATACGTTTATCTAAACAGTTTTTTCCTGGGCTCCAGTATAATAATTCCTAATCGGATGTTTGGTATCCAAGTCTTTAGACCTACTGTGTGTACCTGGGTAGGGTTGGGTAAATGGGGGTTGGGAACCGGGATAGTAACGTTGGACTCGTCCCAGTCCTATATAGTAGTAGTAGTATGTTTTGAAGATTTGATTGAAAGATTTGATTGGCTGGAAACAAACCAGTATAATAATTCCTAATCGGATGTTTGGTATCCAAGTCTTTAGACCTACTGTGTGTACCTGGGTAGGGTTGGGTAAATGGGGGTTGGGAACCGGGATAGTAACGTTGGACTCGTCCCAGTCCTATATAGTAGTAGTAGTATGTTTTGAAGATTTGATTGAAAGATTTGATTGGCTGGAAACAAACCAGTCTTTATTCTTAATGTCTATACAGCCTGAAGCAGGTTGTCTTGTCTGTATTGAAATCCATTCATTCTGTGAGCTATCATCCATAAACAATGGTCAGATTATTGACTGCTTCCAAATGGGGTCATCGTTCTCACCTTAATACATCAAATGGCTGCTGTAGCAGGGAAGCTTCAGGACATGCATGGTCACTCTCTGTACATATAAGATGATTCATTCTGCAAAAGAAAAATAATTTCTTTAGTTCACATATACTGGTAGTCTGTGAGTGAGTGAGTTTGATTTTACGCCGCTTTTAGCAATATTCCAGCAATATCACGGCGGGTCCCACCAGAAATGGGCTTCACACATTGTACCCATGTCGGGAATCGAACCCGGGTCTTCGGGGTGAAGAGCGAACAGTTTAACCACTAGGCTACCCGACCGTCCCTGGTAGTCTTTGAGACAAATCAAAACAATACAACTAGGATTGTCATTTCTTTCGGGTTAGAAGTCTTTCATGATGTATCGAATGCTGCTTTCGTGGACTCTTTCACAGACCCTGAACCATATTTTTTCCCTTCTGCCCAGCCCTGACTGTAATGCTATAACCTTAATGAAGCAAGTCTAGATTTTCCACAGGTTCTCCCTTATCACCAGGGCTCCTTTTCAAAAGAAATACTGTTGCTTAATTGTTTCTATCAAAATGATAAACTCTGAAACAAGTTATAGAACACCCACAATTGGAGGCTGTGTGTTGCAAAACTATAGTCGTATGAACAAAATCAGGTGTTCTTTAACATGTTTAACTTTTTTTGGAGTAATATGTGTTTACAGAGAGTAACAATTCCAGTTGCATGTACACTGATTAAATCATCACACCATATTTCAATTGGTTAATGTTAGTAAAATCCATTTGTAGTCTTATGTCAATTTCAGATACAGAAACTTTTTCATATATTTTCAACCGAACTGATTTACTTTGAAGCGGGCCCAAAAATCATATTAGAATGGAAGAGCGAGTATTGTTTGATGCTGAGGTCAGCATAATTCCGCCAATATCATGGCAGCTTGTAAATAAATATATTTGGATCAGACAAACTAGTGACTGAAACATTTAAAATCACTCCAAGCTGCTGAGTTATGGTGACAAGCAATAAAAAGTCATCAAGTCTGACCACGAATCCTTTTCTTCTCCTGAGTGAGTGAGTTTGTTATAACGCCACTTTCAACAGTATTCAAGTTATTTCACAGCATGCCACCTTGACGGAGTAACGACGAAGTGATGTTGGACTTAGATGTGAAACCAATGAGAAAGGGAACAACGCTGACAAACCTAGACCCACAGGTTGAATTTGGGATTTGAACCAAAGATCATAGTTTCCAGGGGCATCTTAGGAACGGACGCACCTCATCCAATAGTGTCCTTAACATTGAAGATTCGACAACCCCTACTTCTTCATGGGGTCACCTTGACCTGATTGCATATCGACTTAATTGACCTGATAAATGTCGTATGATCCTGATACTGTCAGAAACTGTATCACGACATCGAGACACTTGTAAGCTATCGTGGACAACATGTACTATATGGGTCAGGTCAAATTTAATGACCAGCCAGGATTAGACACCACGATCGATCAAACTAGCCCATCACGTTCATTATTCCTATTTTGATCAATCAAGCCTGAAGGGAAAAGTCCTAAAAAGAAAGTAAGAGATAGGCTAAGGACCCTATTTGGCCCACTTAACAAGTTGAATTTAACAGTTGTGGAAATAAAATATTGGTATGAAAGTTATCAGACATATTCAAAAGGCTGACAACTAGTCTTTTCCGTTTTTACTTCTGAAGTTACCAAATACAGTAAACTACATTCATAACGAAGCTTTTAAAGAACTGCCAGATATAACTAATGTATTGTTTGGTCCTGGCCCTTTGTTATATACTTGTATAAGCTGTACATATGCTTATAATGAACTAAAATTAGTGGTCCCTTTGAGATCGTCATAATTGTAGTTTATTGTAAATTTGTATGACTAAACTGAGTGAAAAATGCCAATTTCATGAGATTTTTGACCAAAAGATAAATGTTTTAGCACATCTTGAACTGTTAAACAGAGCTCCAGATAAGCTGGGTATCTGCGTGAAATACGCATCAGAAATGTAGAAATACGCAGTAAAATAAAATCCAAGCGTATCAAATATGCAACGAACATTACAGATATGCTACAAAAATAAAACGTGTGCGTATCATCAAAATATTGTGAAGTAACCCTGCATATTCGATTAGCAAATCAGCAACTTATTTTGAAATTATAAACGGGTATTCCGCCAACCTCACCAAACTCCACGATGACAGTTACGTCATGATCATTTGCCATCACCTTTTCTTGTGGAAGTATCATGGTATTTTTGAGTCCTATAAAGCTCTCGAACCCACACGACACCAGTTTGCAGGGACTAGATGAATAGTGTTTTTAAATATTTAACTTAAATACCCACATGTCTAAAAACTAGTGGGTAACAGAAATTTGAATACCCAGATAGAATTACTGATACCCAATGATTTTAAAATGCATGGGTAAAATACCCACAACACCAAAAGCACATCTTGAACTGTTAAAACAATCAGCTGGGGACAAAGATGTGCTCACATTTCAATATTAGAAGAAAAATACACTTCATGAAAAAATCGAATATCTTCCTTTTTCACTCATTTTAGATTACCTATGCATTTAGTGTTGTTGAAACAAACTTTTATTCTGATTCACATAAACATAATTGATAACATCCATATAGGTTTTCATTCGTTCTTGCTTTATCCATACCTTGCAGGCAGAAAAAGACCCTTATCGTACCTTGGCCTTTTCATAAACATGATTAGTTCTGAGGTGACACTCACGGACAGTGATCCTAACAGGAGATTGTTAATGCATGACATTTTACAGTACAAATAGATCCTGATAGCCTGCAGTGACAATGACAACAGTTTGTTTTGTTTGCAGGTTAATGTTACGGTTGGCAATATTCCAGCTGTATACTATTTCGGGAAATAAGGGGGTCACGGGTCGCCAAGTCATCTCAGGAGCTGCAATTGGCTGTGCAGAGTTATGTCCCTTGGGCATGCCAGAAAGCTATGATTGTGGTTCAAGTTTAAAAAATTATGTTTAATGACAATCCTGGTTTTTTAAGACCAACCAAACCACGATGAAAATATTGAAAAAATATCTATATAATAATAAAAATAATTACTTGTTTTTCAGTTATCTGTCCTTGGTCATTGGGCCTACGGCCTTGTGATTTTGGTAGAATCTAGTACTTTACAGTCTACATTCACCAAGCGGATGCTCCTTGTGCTACACTATTATTACCTTGGTTAATGGATCAGTGTGCACTCGTTTTCCATTCTCATCTCCCTGGGGAGTATTCAACCCCAGCTGCCTGTGAGGTGCTAGAATGTTAACAGCCACATTACCATCTCATCCTATATCGGTAATCTGTGAGTGACATACTTATTCCTTGGTTCTGGTGTCTTTTGTTTTCAAAATGAAATAAATACAATTACCATGAATATACACCAGTGAAGATCTGACTTAGCATGCTTAGGATACTTCTTGAACAACCCATGCTTGCCATAAAAGGTAAAGATGATCTGGTGGTCAGACTCAGAGGCTTGGTTGATGCATGTCACTGTAGAGTGAGTGAGTGAGTGAGTGAGTGAGTGAGAGAGAGAGTGAGAGAGTGAGTGAGTGAGTGAGTGAGTGTCTGGTTTTATGCCGCTTTAGCAATATTCTAGCAATATTCCAGCAATATCACGCGGCGGGGGACACCAGTAATGGGCTTCACACATTCTACCCATGTCGGGAATCGAATCCAGGTCTTTGGTGGGATGAGCGACCGCTTTAACCACAAGACTACCTGACGGCCCCCATGTCATTGTATACCAATTGCGTAGAACGATGCTGATGTCAATCACTGGCTTATCTGGTCCAGACTCAATTATTTACAGACCAGCGTCATATAGCTAGAATATTATCATGATTATATAGTACACATGTATACAAAAAAATACCCCCAAAACATGAATATATATGACCATTTATGTCTTCCTTAAGATGAATTTGCACATATTGACAGCAAAAAGTGCACAAAATGTTTGAAAACAGATCTGAAATGCTCTTAGTAAATTCCAACACAATAGTAATGAGAATTGTCTCCTCGAAAAGAGCACAAACAAGTTTTGTTTTGTTTGTTGTTTAACGCTGCACTCAGCAATATTCCAGCTATATGTTGGCGGTTTGATAAATGATCAAGTCTGGACCAGACAATCCAGTAATAGACATTATGAACATCGATCCACGCAATTGGGATCAACCATGTCAGCGAGCCTGACCACCTGATCCCGTTAGTCGCCTCTTACGACAAGCACAAACAAGTGATACCCAAAACGGTACATAAAGCCACAATAATGATCTCTGTCACCAGTAGAGGAGTATCTGATATCAAGATAAGTAAACCGTATTATCACGGGACAATAGATTGCATCATGTGGTGGTTCGACTTGGGGAGATAAATATCATGATCATGATGATGCTCCAAAGCATGGGCAATTAAAAAGAGAAATATACTACTCAAAAGAAGTTAAAGGGCAAGTGAAGTCAACATAGCAACTTTGCAGCTTTTAATACTTTACTGGGGGCGGTCGGGTAGCCTAGTGGTTAAAGCGTTCGCTCGTCACGCCGAAGACCCGGGTTCGATTCCCGACATGGGTACAATGTGTGAAGCCCATTTCTGGTGTCCCCCGCCGTGATATTGCTGGAATATTGCTAAAAGCGGCGTAAAACCATACTCACTAACTAACTAATACTTTACTGCATACTCTATCACAAATGCTTGACCAAAATTCAATTTGAAAAGCAGAAAATGTGTAAAAAAGATGGTAAAAAACGACAGGTGAAATCATCCCCGAAGAATAGATTCCGTTGTATGTATGAGTGAGCGAAAATATCAATCATTAATATAAGATTTGGGCTATCAATGAAATTACAGAAAAACAGGGTTTCCAATGTGACAAATGTGAAGGTTGATTTTTTTCTCTTAATTCCAAGAGGGTCGGCACTTGTTTTCCGACTACAAGTTCATGGTTAAGACCAGATTTCAAACTTCCATTCATTGCAATGTTTCCAAAGAGGATGCCTGACCACCATTAGCAGCAAGGACTTTGCCACAAAGGGCGGT